CCCCAAAACCCCAAAACCCCAAAACCCCAAAACCCCAAAACCCCAAAATAGTGGTACAAATTTGAAACAATTTTATTGTGAGCTATACGTAAACAGAGGTTAACTGAATTTTCCTCTTCTGTGATCGTCTATATTGCCTTCCTTTGAGTCTCAAAGCTGGCAATTTCCTCCCCTTCTGCCGAGCCTTAGTAGATTTTTCACTATCTATGGAAATACAATTGACACGAATTGAATTTGTGGCAAAATTTAATAAAAATTTCTAAATTTTCCTATCTTAGCCATCCAAATTATCAAAAATGGAATCGTACCTTTTGTAATGAACTTTTGGGTGGAAGTACTGAAATTAGCAACAGTGCTACCCATAGTGCTGGATTTTGTCTTAACATACCTTATGGATGCCTGGGATGTATGGTTCCTCCCATCACAACTCAACAAGTCCTTTTCTGGTGAACCTGGCATGCTTAGGCATTTTTCTGCACGCTTATTATAATCCATCGATGAACTATACTAATTATATCCCAACAACTTACTTGAGCTTCTTTCTTATCGAGGTGTAAAAATCCTTCGGACTGGATAACAAGGATACTTTCTGAATGGAAGAGAAGGAGTCTGACCCTGATAGCGGGACAAGCGGCTTCCTCTGACATGGGTAGCTTTTTATCTCAGGTATCCACGTGGATTTTACCCTTATTTTTCATTTTTCATGTCTGTTTTGGAATAGGACCTTGGGATGCATTTTAAGATAATTTCTCTTCCTTCTAAAGAATACCTTATAACTAATTTTAGGTACAAATCTAAGATTTTAATATTGGATGTCTCTGGGACAACCTGCTGATTTCATTCCAGAGTTGGTGTAGGCAAAAATTCCAATTTAATATTATTAAGTTTTTATGTCGGAATTTGGATAATTTTTGGGAAAATTTAACGAAAATTCGGAAGGTCTCTTACTTATGAAGTTTGTTCTTCATCGCACCACATTTTAGCTGCTTGGTCATATCTCTGAGCTTGCTCTTTATTTGGTCATATTCTACGAGGGAGTTGTAGAATTTCTAGATGAAATAGAGTTCATAGATTCAAAAATATTTTGGTACAAACAGTTGGGTAAGACGTTTTGCAAGGTTCACTTACTAAGAAATCCTGAGGGATCAAATCATTGCGGTGGATATTTGGAGAAACTGGTGAAAGAGGAGTTTGAACCTTCTTTGGTGATGGTTTTTGAGTTAGGTGACGTTGAGGAGATGAGCTCTTTATTCACTCTATTGCCATTCCTATCTTATCTGGTTCCCTCTCCTAAAATACTCAACAAACAGTCAAGTTGAAAGATAAGGGCAAAAGAGGACTAAGAATTTTATTACAAAGTATAACAAAAGAGATTCATTGAGTTGTTTAGAACTCCTATACGCCTTAGTTTTCAATCACCGTTCGAAATCCCAACTTTACCATGAACTACTATCACATAATCTATAGTAGTTACGTGAGTGTAAAAATTAATCTAAATTTCTTTCGAAACAAGAAGTACAAACTTATGCATTCATTTGTGAATAAAAGGTCTGATTGACAAGCCCATTGCACATATTTTATTTATAATTACCCAGGACCTACAGACACAAACATTAAGGCTTTCGAAGTCTGAAATTTTGATGCTCTCCTGTCCATCTTCCTTAACTTAGATGAATTGACTTCGGTTGTGCTCATATTATTATTTATTCTAATCTCAGAAATCATATATCGAAAATTGGGGTTTTGGGGTTTTGGGGTTTTGGGGTTTTGGGG